TTGCTTTGTTTGATTCAAGAATTGGTCAAGACTCTTAATCTTTGAAATTGATAATCTGTATATTGCGAAAATCTTTCAAAGATCATTTCACTCCCCCTCTTGATCTCAGCCTACTTTTCTAACAATATACGAACTCACAAATTCCAGAATGATCTTGAACTTACAAACATATGAAAGTGTAAATTTACACTCCTTAAAAACTTGTTTGCAAATTGCACCACAAAGGACAAAACTGACAAGCTTGTGAAGAAATTAACTGAAGAACTCAAATGAAAAGAGAAACGATAATACAAGAGAAACGAGTCAATTAAAACGTCTAATACAATTATTATAACAAAAAGTGCTTTTTTAAAATCAGTTTATACCAAATTAAAGATAATATTAAACCAAGTGTAAAATTATAAATCTGCATGAGACCAAGTCAAAGGATGTCTGAATCATAACAAATTTTTCAAATTTAATAAAATAAAAAGTTAACCCTTTGAGATATACAATACAACAGTAACAAGATAATGGTTAAGAGATTCATTACCTTCACAGAAGGATACTCCAATTATTTTTCCTTGAGTTTTATGATTCTACTGATATCTGCAACACCAAGAATGAAGATAAAATATCAGAGATGATCCATCTTCTTGTGAAGCCAACTTCTGTTCCATCTTCAAACATATATACACATACAAATCATGCAGAGTTTGTGCTAAATATCATACATATACCAAATTATATCAAGCAGATTGATGTCCCCAGAACGTTACCACACAGAGATTGATTGCAATTTGATTTTACATGAATATGATATTGTAAAAAAGCAACCAAAAGTTGAACAGATGAATGCATGTATTTTTGAAATGGAAGAAGAATAGAAGGTAAAGGTTGGTGGATAGCTTTGATTCTTAACTTAAAGACAATTTAAAGTTAAGGCCGGTGAAATTTCGATTAGGAGACTTCATGTCCACCCTCTTCCTCAAAGCAAGTGTATCCAAACAAGCCTTGGGGTCATGGCTTGCTTCAACAAACAGAGTGACACATACCGACAACTACTAGGACTAAACACGAATCCCTATCCACACTCAGACGAAGAAAACCAAATCAGAACCACTGACCACCATTTGACAGACCCCATTCAAAAGCAACAACAACAAGCAGAGTCAAAATTAACAAAACTAAACTATCAGAAACACAATCCTCAATCTAAAATGCAATACCAGATTAGAATAAAGTCAAAACAGAGAATAAATCAAGCTAGGGAAGCTGGTTCACGACCTCAACTTCGAACAGGGGATGGCACTGCTCCGAGGACGCCACCCATGGCAACGACGCCACGATTGGGAAGGATCCACTGTCGAGGTTGTTTATTCGTCGCGTCGACTTACGATTAGGGCTAGGAAATGGCCTGCGACACCCCTAATGGTCGTGGGTTGGGGGGCGCAATTAGGGCTTATAAAGACGACCAACGATGGCACAACCGCGAAGGCTATGAGCGGCAGTATGATGCTCGTGAGGGAGGCTCGATGGAGGGTCGTTGGGCTTCAATGGTGGTCAGCACCTGGACCAGAGGATGAAGCGTAGCCTGGAGAGAGTGACAGAGCTGAGGATGGGTCTGACTGGGGGTGAAAGGCCATCGACTGAGGCTAGAGGGTGACGGAGAAGACGCAGGTATGGGTAGAGGTTGCGGGTTGCGGTGGTGTGGTGGTTCGGTGGTGGTTGGGCTAGGTTGAGGGGGAGAAACAAAGTGAGTGAGGGCATGGTGAAGGAGAGAGTTGCCTGGGTGAAGAGGAAATGAGCGGTCACGAGAGAAAATTAGGGTAAAATATAATCGATTTTTTTTTCTTTTTAATTATATATATATATATATATATATATATATATATATTATTTTTTACTTATTATTTTGGAAAAGTAAATTTTGATAGATTTTTTTATTTTTTTTTATTTTTAAAAAAAAAATATTAAGAAAAAAGGAAATTTTTCATTTTATTTTTTTAAATATTTTTTTTATTATTATTTTCATATTTTCGAGTATTGATTTTTTCATTAAATTAATTTTAATTAAAATAATTAAAGTGATATATATACATTTATTTATTTTTAATTTTTAATTTATTAATATTATCAAATTTTAGCTTAATAATTAAAAAAAATTACCAGAAATTTAAATTTTATTAATTCTATAATTTTATATAATTATTATTATAAATTTAATTTTGAAATATTTGAAATATAAATTTAAAATATCAATTCAGTAGTTAAACAAATTTTAATTTTTTTATAAATACATTAAAATACATCTTTATTAACATACAAATAATATATATATATATATATATATATATATATATATAAGAGATTAAATAATTAATTAATTTAATGATGGATTTAGTGACCGATTTAGTAGCCGATTTAGTAACCGATTTAGTGACCGATTCAAGTAATTGATTCAAGAATCGATTCTAGGTGACTCGATTCAATGACCGATTTAGTGACCGATTCAATGACCGATTCGGTGACTAATTTAATAATTAATTTTATTTTTTTATTCACATGCTAAAATAAAAAATAAAATCAAATAATTATATTACTAAATTATTTAATATGTCTAATAAGTTACTAAACTATTTTTTTAAATATTTATAATGTTATTAAAAATGTTATCAAATTTTTTAAGTTATTAAGTAGATTTATATTTAATATATTATTAAAATATTTTTAATAATTATTTATATAAATGAAAAATAATCATCAATTTAGAGATTATGTGTTTTGTGACTGAAATTTTAGTCACTAAATCAGTCACTAAATATAAAAAGGGAAATCAGTCACTGATTCAATTATTACCAGCGACTAAATTTTTCGATCACTAATTTCAGTCACTATTAACCATTTTTCTAGTAGTGTTTGTTCCTCAAGAAATTGATATTGAGATCAGATTGGAGAAAGAAAGTTACAAAGTTGTATCAAGAGATGATGAAAGTATGCAACAATGTTATGATCAACAACCACATAATGAGGAAGATTTTGAGCATGTTGAGATCGAAAATTTGTCTGTTGATGCTAATGATATACCACACCAATCGTCCCCTCAAGAACCTAAAACAGAAAAAAGAATTCTGTCAGATCGTGTCACTAGAGGTATCCCTAAGCCTACTTATGATCCTGACCTCACCAATAAGACAAGATACCCTATGAGTAATTATGTTTGTAACCAGAATTTGTCTAACTCAAATATCGCACTTATAAGTCAATTATCTACTGTATTTATTCCTAACAGTGTGCAGGAAGCTTTAGCTAACTCCAGGTTGAAGGATGCTATGAATGAGGAGATGAGATCCTTGCAAAGAAATAAAACATGGGAATTAGTAGATTGTCTAGTTGGAAAGAAACTAGTACGATGCTGATGGGTGTATACAGTGAAATTTAATGCAGATTGCATAATTGAGAGATTCAAAGCTAGATTAGTGGCAAAGGGGTACACACAAGCATATGGAATTACACTGAAACATTTGCTCCCATAGCCAAAATTAGTACAGTTCGAGTATTGTTATCTCTAGTTGTAAACCTTGATTGGTCCTTACAACAATTTGACGTAAAAAATGTCTTCTTACACGGGGTATTGTCTGAAGAAGTTTATATGGAGCTACGAGAAGGATGTGGGATCTCGAATACACATAACAAGAAGGTATGCAAGTTGAAGAAGTCATTGTATGGACTAAAACAATCACCACGAGCATGGTTTGGTAGATTTACCAAGGCAATGCTTGCTTTTGGATACCAACAGAGCAACCAAGATCATACCTTGTTTCTAAAGAAAAAGGAAAAAAAGATTACAATTTTTATTGTCTATGTTGATGACATGATAGTTACGAGAAACGATTTAGAGGAACGCAAGACATTGAAAGAGTACTTGGCGAAGGAATTCGAGATGAAGGATCTTGGTCCTTTGAAATATTTTCTTGGAATTGAGGTCTTAAGATCAAAGTCAGGTATTTTTCTCTCACAACGAAAGTATGCATTGGATTTACTAAAAGAAACTGGAATGATAGCATGCAAACCAGCAAATTCTCCAATTGAAGAGGGATTGAAGCTGTGCATTGAAGAAGATCAAACTCCAACTAACAAGGGAAGATATCAGAGACTTGTAGGGAGATTGATGTATCTCTCACACACTAGGCCAAATTTAGCTTATGCTCTTAGTGTGGTTAGCCAGTTCATGCACAATCCAGGTGAAAAACACATGGATGCTGTTATACGGATTTTAAGGTATATAAAAGCTGCTCCTGGAAAAGGAGTTATGTTCAAGAAGAACTCCAACTACAAGGATGTGATGGTTTATACTGATACAGATTGGGCAGGTGCTCTTGATGATAGAAAATCAACCTCTGGATACTTTACATTTGTAGGAGGTAATCTTGTCACATGGAAAAGCAAGAAGCAGAAAGTTGTAGCTAGATCCAGTGCAGAAGCTGAACTTAGAGGAATGGTTATTGGACTTTGTGAAGGTTTTTGGCTCAGACTACTTCTCCAGGATTTAGGGTATGCACATACACGTCTCATTCAGTTGTATTGTGATAATAAAGTTGTGCGCGACATTGCTCACAACCCTATCCAATATGATCGGATGAAGCATGTGGAGGTTGATAGATTTTTCATCAAGAAAAAGCTTGATAAAAATATTTTGGAATTGCCAAATATCAATTGGCAGATATTTTTACAAAAACTGTGATAAGTTAGATTTTTAGGAGATTATTGGACAAGTTGAGAATGTATGACATCTATCTACCAACTTGAGGGGAGTGTTGGGATAAAGATATTTGATTAGCTAAATTATAGATTTGTATAGCGGTACAAAATATTGTATAATCACAACTTCTTATATTTAGTCCTAATTTATTAGAGTAAAATATTATAAGATCATATTACATGTACACATATACATATATACGTGTAGAAAAATAATATGAATAAAAATAACCTGATTTTCAATTTCCGCAATATTTTAGGTTAACTGGGTCTCCTGGGGAGGGGAAATCGTTTCTTGAATTGGTTAATTGGAATCCCGAGTTTGCAAAATCTGTTATTGAGGAGAGGGCTGAGGAGGAGAGCGAGCGTTTGGGAATTAGGGTTAGGCCTAGTTTCAATGTGGAGCTTCCAGCAGGGTTTGTGTTGAAGAAAGAGATAAGGGAGTGGGTTAGGGATTGCATGGAGCTTGATTATGTGTCTCCTTACGAAGATGTGCCCCATTTAGACCAGGCTTCTAGAGAGATGGAGAAGAGGTCTGTTGAAGTGTTCCATGAACTGCTTTCTCTTTTCTTGCATAAGAGGGTTCCTGTGCCGATCCTTGGAAAGTTTTGTGATGAGTATAGGTTTTCCAATGCGTTTTCCAGCACTTTTACAAGGCATTCGGGGATATTCTATTTGTCCTTGAAAGGTAGGATTGGAACGACAGTGTTGAGAGAAGCATACAGAGTTGAGGAGTTGGTTGACCGCGATCCGTTGCTTCAGATAAAAGATAAATTTGTTGAGTTGTTGGAGGAGGGGTGGCGGCAAAGAAAGGAGCAATTGCGGTTGAAGCAGGAGAAGATTAAGGAAGATATGGAGCTATTGGCCACCAAAGTTTGTGATTGAATGTGTAAAACAGGTGAGTTGATACGAAGAGCTTTCAATTTTGCAAGATTTTTGTGAGGCAAAAGCTTGACCGTTGCTGGCTAGTACAATCCTCCACACTTGATATGATTGTTAGTTAGTCTTAACGTGCATGAATTGTTGAAGAAAATTGAATGGTTACCTCTTAGGACTCTGTTATTGAAAGATGCTTCAGTAAAAAGTTTTTGGCTTAGTAATATATCAAGGGATCATTTTTCCCTCCATGTTTGTGTTGTTGAGGCCAATTTAAAATATGGAGGGTAGGGAGGGGTTGTTGTTTAAATAATGTTCCCTTTTTTACTTGTGATCTTGGTTCTCAGTCAACAAAATATCAGAATCAGAAATCAAAGTATTGTATTGTTTTTCTTGAAATATTTTGATTTCAACTTAAAAATATTCCTTGAAAATGTTGAAGATGAGTGTTTTCAGTATGTTACATCTTTGTTAGTAAGCATTTATGTTGCTAGGGCTATTTAACAATCAATTTTATCAATCTTTGAGATGCATGATAAATACCTAGGTTTGGCTTGCTAGATGGAGGTTGTGAATTTATCTAATTCATTGTCCTTTGAGATTTAGGAGTTCGACAACACGGTGCTCCAAATAGACCTCAAATCAAACCTGCAGTACATCACTTGGCGGCAACAGAATGTGGAAAACAAAGTATTTCCGATGGATGTTCTTTCAGAGAAGAAATAAACATTATATACATGTGCTAAGGATGGAAAGAATGAGTTGCATTGTTAAAACGGCAATGAACTATTTGCTTTTCATGTTTCAAGTAACACATGAGGTAAAGTTTGTCGAGCAATCATGCATGTTGCGCAGTGGTAAAGTTGTTGCCTTGTGGCTTAGAGGTTATAGGTTTAAATCCAAGGAATATAGTCTGCTCGCCCGCGGGGATAAAGCTGCCTGCATACATTTAACCTCCATATCCTACTTGGTGGGAGTCTCATGCACTGGATTTTCCTACTTTCATGCGTTATGCTTCAAGAAAATTGTTTCCAACTGTCATCTAACTACCTATTGGAAGGCAATACAATATCAATTTCTTTTGTCAGTGAGCTTGTGTTATATTAACAAATTTGCTTTCAACTGGATTGGCATTAACTTAATAGTTTACAAGTAGCAGACGAACATTTGTTTCTCATTAAATATTTTCTAATCGATATCCCTTTTAGCTAGAAAAGTCCACCAGTTCTGCATGTTAGTAATTAATTTGCGAATTATCTGATAAACCCTTTGTCCACACTTCTCATCCTTTGTGAGAAGAGTTATTAGAAACATTGTTCAGGAATAAGGTTGGTGATTCTAACCCCCATTTAGAATAGTTTTTTGTCACCTACAAAGTCGTCACACTAAATGGATGAGAAGTAAAGAAATAATAACTAAGCAAGCAGGACCTCCACCCATTCTCTTGGTAATTACATCTTATAAGATCATAATTTATCTGATTAACTACCTGCTGGGAACATGCGCATGAATCTGCAAGTATATAAGCAGTATATGAAAGTTTAGAAAGTTCAGGGTTCCTATTAACTGAACAGCACTGAAGATAGAGAGAACGCAAGAGATACAAAATGAAGAGGGTCAAGGTTTTCAATTTAATGAATCTGGCTATGACATTTCTGGCATTTGTACCAAAGATGGAGAGTCAGGTTTTGCCACCACCTTCTCTTCATCCACTTTGTTTATCCCAACTAGCATTGGTAGGCTATGCTTGCACCGTGTTGCCTCTCACCACAACACCAGGACCTCCTCCACCCTCTCCTTCCCCTAATGATCATGGTCATAGGAGTAATGAGCACTACAATCTTCAAGAAAACTGTTGCCACTGGGCTAAGGAAATAGATAGCCAATGTGTATGTGAAGTCCTAGTTCGATTGCCAACCTTCCTTACTAGACCTATGCATCAGTACTCAATCAGCATTGGAGAATCGTGTAACGTCACTTACTCGTGCGGTGGGCCAATATGATTGACAAACTCACGTTTTGATGCCAGTAAATTTTAGTAGTGGAAAAGAATCCAATATTGTCTTCGGTTTAAGGGTTGAAGTTATGGTTATCGCTCTGATTCGTGGTGGCAGGCTTGTAGCTTGTACAGTGAAAGTATTCATATAACTATATTACATTTACCTAGATTTAAATTTAATGTGAATAGAGAAAATACTGCCACGTTAGTTTTAGGCCATTCTAATAATGTTACTCACTAAACTCCTGTTTGGATTAGGAATGGATTTTAGGGAATAGAAAATGTGAGAAAATAAAATAAAATAAAAAGTGAGATTGTTTAGATGTAGAGAAAAGAAGAATAAGAAGTAAATGAAGAGAAATGAATAAAAATATTATCTTATCATTTATTGATTAAAAAAATTAAATAATAAGATAATTTGATAAATATCAAAATATCTTTTATTATTTATTTTAATTAGAATAAATTATTAAAATAGAGATATAATTTAATATGAAAAAATTATTTAAAAAAAGAAGATAAAAGTATACATAAAATAAATTAATTTATATATAATTTAAAAAAATTAATTATGATATTTTATAGAAATATTTAAATTATTATTTTTATTATAATGTATAAATAATATTAAAATTCTACAAATTTATATAAGAAAACTACTGCATATAGATCATATAGAAATAAAAATAGCTACAATTATTTGAATAAAAGTATATTCATCTAAAATAAAAACTTAAATAAAAATAAATTATAGTAAAAAAATAAAAATAAAAAACAGTACAACCATAAAAAAAGATAAATAAAAATTCATACACATATATAACATTAATAACATCAATCCATGTTTATTCAAGACTCTCGATTATCAAGTATATCTTGAATTTGATCAATCCTATGATATACATAGTTAATACATCTTTAAAGATTACTATATTAGTCTGAATATGCACATCTACATAATGTAGAAGTCTATCTTCCACATTCAAATTATCAATATTCTTACAAGTTCGTATATGTAGTTTTGATCTAACCATTGTAGTCAAAGCTTCATCCTTATCATGTCCCTATTCTTCAAGGATGTTAGTAAGATCAATGTAGTGACTCCAATATTTCAAATGAGCCACATTTAGTCAATCATTACGCTTTATCCTGATTTGCCTTTGTAAGACCTACTAACAAGATCATCTATGTCCTTCAATTTCAATTTTGTATAGAACACTTTTATGAGGTCTTCATGATAAGAACTTGTGGAAGCTAGAAATTTATCTACCCCTGTAAAGGCAAGTGATGGGGGAAATTTGAATCGAGTTATAATAAAGAAGTTAAAGTTTATATTACCTTTAGATGGACTATGGGTCTTTTAACATAGTTTGCATAATAATTTTTCTTTGTCTTTTATTACAAAAATAACGAACATGATCTAATAGCGTGGGGAACTTAGGCACGTTTTTAGGAGGGATAGGTATATCACCTTCTACTTCCTTTTTTCCTTTACTTTGTGAAACATGTATTTATCTCTTTGATTTGAATGATGATGAAGACATCATGGAAAACCTGTAAATAGTGGGTACCATTAGTACATTTTTCATATACATTAATTCTTCATATTAAAACATAAATAGAACAACCAAATTTAAACAAGACAATCAAACATAAATAGAATAATCAAACATAAACAACATAATCAAATATAAATACAACACTTAAACAATAGTTTAAAACTATACATGAAAAGTTCAAATATTTAAAACAACTATGACGAATCTCCACCGGTCATATGCTTTAACAAATAGTTTAGTCTTAACTTTGTGGCATACCAAAAAGTATACGCGTATGGATGAGATTTCTACAGATAAATTCATAGCATTATAACATCAATTAATCATCATGCAAATTAAATTGTCATAACAATTGTCAAATATTAGTTGTTGCAATGTTACAAAGCTTATTTGGATCATGACCTGATCACTCGTCAAGTCAATTCTTCTTTCCATGATCATGGTCTAGTGTTCCACAACAATAATATGACACTTTACCAAATCACATTGATGTCAACCACCTCTATCAATTTTGTAGATAATTTATCACTCTCACCAATGTTATCCACCAGTCTGTGAATCCTTGTGTTCATAATTTCAAACTGAGCATTCAAGTCTACATCTACCATGTTTATTGTTCTCTTTAAGCCCCTTGATGAAGATGTTTCTATAGAAGGGACAAAAGGGACTGTTGAATTATTGGCAAACGTACCAAAATTATCAATCGCAGTATAGTAATTCAATTAAATAAAAGTCGATCTCACGAGGAACGATTTCAATGGAAATTCCCAATTATATGCTTACTAAGTGGATTAAAACAAGTTGGGTTTTGCATAAAGAGTTGAATTGAAATTAAATAACAAAGAACTGTAAATTGTTGAGAAAAGATCAATTAAAGGCACTTAGGATTGACTTTCTTCCTTATCCCTCTTTTGTAATGGCTATGTCAATTAAGAACGTCAATTAACCTAACAATGTTGATGTCACCTACTCAAATCATCCATGTTGATTCCTCACACATGAAATTCATAAGAAAACCTAATAAATGTTGATTCCTCACACAATTAAGAGATTTTCCAGCATTAGGTTTAGGGTGTTAAGCAATTGATACATTCATTTCATTCCTGACAATTAACGTAACAAATATTCTTACCGTGATCTAGGTTCAAGATATATTTTCCAATCATATCCCAAACATCAAGAATAAATCATTCCAAAGCACAAGGGATAAGAATAACAACATCAAAACATAAATTAATATCTCAAAATATCAACATGATACAAAAGAGTTCAAAGGAAGTGCACCAAATCCCAAGAGAATGAAGTTAGACACTCATGTTGGTCATTACAATGCTCCAAATGTGGAAGAAGTGAAGAATTGATGAAAATTGGACGAAACTCTAGCATTAGCCACGCCTCTTCTCCCCAAAACCGCTTGTTTTTCTCAAAACACATCTAATCTTTTTATAGGAAAAATTGGGCCTCGCATCTTTCGCTCAAGTGACAACTTTCGCTCAAGCGAAAGTTTTCTATTTTTGCTCAAGCGACAAATCGCTCGCTTGAGCAAGTGAACTCCAGAGAAGAATAACTAACATTTGCTCAAGCGAATTTACTGGCGCTTGAGCGACTGACTTCCAGAGAAGAATAACTTACATTCGCTCAAGCGAGAGTCCATCTCGCTCGAGCGACTTCCATGCTGAAAATATTCTTCCTTCTTCCAGTTTTACTCCAATTATGCTGATAATTATGTTTCTTACTCTTGTATCAAGGTATTCTCGAATTCATCCTACATTGGGAGAAAAATATATTAGAATTAACATAAGTTAAGTGGTTTCATAACAATTCAAAGTATAATTATATCAACTTTTTACCACTTAACAACTCCCCCCCAACCTAGAATCTTGTTTGTCCCAAGCAAAGTAATTTTTCCAAAACAAAACCATCACATATTATCACTTTCTCTTCCAGAACCACAACATAAAAAAAAATTTAGATGTGATGCTCACAACTCCAAATGAAAATAGAATACGTAAGCATTCAAGTTACAAAAATTAATAAAGGAAAATTAATCATCAACTATCCTCAGAGAAGCATAATCTCTCACATCTCACAGGTAAGTGTCTATCTCATTCAATCACTTCATTTAGACAATCCAATATTGATAGTCATCTTCAAGCAATCAATATTTGTTAAGCAAGACTTAAATAAAAGGTCTTTTGAGGCTTGTAATGGGGCTGGGCTGAGAAAGAATCATTGGTTTTTCTGGGGTATACAAAAGTATTTGAGAAATTCAACTCATATGAATGATTCTTGTTTAACATTTCCTCAAGTCGGGTTTCAGACTTCATGCTTTTGTACCTAACACAATGATAGTGAGTTAATAATCTCACAAGTTATTGTTCTCCCCTTTGAACTTCTTTTTTTCTTTTCTCATGCTTTGCATTTATCCTTTCTCTTTACATTTTTTTTTAAGAATAACACCCCAATAATACTTGTATGACAACAATAGCAATACCCAAAATAGGAAAAATAATAACATTCATACTCATTTCCTTTCTCAAATATAGGAAGGTAGATAAATAGTTTTTAGGCTCAGAGGTTCTGTTTAAGAAACAATATTGTTTTTGGCTCAGAAGCTATTCAAATGGATGTCCTATAATTAATGCAGGGTTGGCTATTTGGCTCTGGGTTATGTCTACTACAAAGAAAAAAATTGTCTTTATCATTTTCAAGTCTCACTAACACGCAATCACATCAAAGAATCAATCAATATCAGTTATCATCACAAAGTATTGACACTCAATTTATCTATTTTTGGTTCACTTCTCGCTTGGGTTTTTGGCTAGCTTCTCCGATTCAGTTAATTCCTACTTCTCCCCATCAATTTCTTTTTCACTATCATACTCAATATCCCAAAATCACTTGTTATTGAAAACAATCAAAATGGTTTTCTTCAAGTTCCAGATTTGAATTGGAAAATAAACAATAATTTCATAATTGGCTCTAATCCAAATTTTATGGGACAACAATTTAATCACATCAATTTAAAACATTCATCACATTAAGTGTCAATTCAGAATATTCAAAACAAAACATCTTAAAACAAAGTAAAACAAAAAACTTAAAACATCAAATTAACCAAATCACTTAGACACACCAAAATAACAAAAATCACTTAAAGTAAAATTTTCTCCCTCTTAATCTTCTTCTTCACTTGCTTCTTCTTCATCTTCTTCTTGTGATTCCTCCTCTTCTTCTTGTGCACCAGTTGCACCTTCACCCCCTTCTTGAAAATTGGGACTGTCCTCAGGCCATTGAAGTAAGGCACACATCCACTGCATACCTGGAGCAATTTGCAAAGACAAGTTATAAAAATTTTCAATAATGCTGCATTGACCCCTATGGGTCACTGTTTGTTGTAATGTTAAATGCTCCATGTATTGCATCATTCTTTGAAAGTCTGGCT